ATGCAATCAATTGTTTCCATAATCATAACAATCGTTGTTATCATATCTCATAGACTCAGTGAACGAGTGTTTGGTTTGCAATGAATGAGTGAATGAATGCATGCACTGAAGGCCAGTAACCCTAACAGAGACCAAAGACACCACTCGTACACACCATCGCTGGCATGCAGTCCACGGGACAGACCATCTTGAGGCAGGCATGGATGGAGGTGTGGAAGTGGTGGGAGTTGGCGGTCACAGCAGTCATGTGTGGCTGAGATGGTGTATTGGCGCCACTATTGCCATCAATAGTGGTAGCACTGGAGCACTGGCACCACCACTACTACTACCACTGCATGACTATCGCAGTGATCATCTGATGGCTATATGATATGGCACTCACTCTCCAAACAATCACTACATTACTCGTGAGTGAATGGTTAGCCGTAACTGTAATCAATGCATTCATACTTACAATTCAATACAATTAGTGTGTCTTTTGGTCACAAACGCGAGCACTGTATGAGTGGTGCGATCATCAACTCATTGATGGCGACATGTCTTTCATGGCAAGTGTCGTGTCTCTGGTGTGGACTGAAGATCACCACAAATGTGATGCACTCACTGATGGACTCAATGGCACACAAAGTGTTTAATTAACGAAAACATAAATAATATTCGTTTAAGAGTTGAGTTAGAGTTGAGTCAGTGTTGGCTTACTGTTAGCGCTCAATACAAAGTCAGTGTCGACTCAGTCTCACACTCGCACTCACACTACACAGCAATCAATGCATTTCCACACAAAACACTGCAAACACTACAGCGGAGAGACCAGTGATCCAACGAAACACAAGTGCGTCAAAGTCTATGAGAGAGTGCGAGAGAGTAGAGACCAACACAAACACCACTCCAATGCTATTATAACGTATGCCAACCAATGCCTCTCAATGCGCGCCATTTTCTCAATGCCACACAACCAACCATACAATCAACTCATACACTACGGCCACTACACCCAACCCGCCCGACCCACCATAACCACCCGGATCCTCACATGTCGTGCTTTTATTGCTTTACAACTAATTTCAATTATATTTGTTAACATTCATTACTTTTATTTGCCTTAATTTAAGGCTTCACTAAAATTTATATTAAAATTGGTAGTTTGTATTAAAATTAAAACTTTATTTAAATTATACTTAAGTTTATAATAATTACTCATAGAATAACTACATTTAAAATATTTTACTTACTCTAAATATAAAATTAAAAAGTTACTCAATAGTTGGTATTTTATAATTACTGTATAATAAAATGGTAATAAATATGAAGTTTATAAGTTTGTATTGGGACGGGAATGGGTGGTACGGGTTGAGTACATGTCTAGTGGATTGTACTCTAATTTGTTCACTCTTTGAGTGCGGTTACTCAATAGTTGGTATTTTATAATTACTGTATAATTACTGTATAATAAAATGGTAATAAATATGAAGTTTATAAGTTTGTATTGGGACGGGAATGGGTGGTACGGGTTGAGTACATGTCTAGTGGATTGTACTCTAATTTGTTCACTCTTTGAGTGCGGTTACTCAATAGTTGGTATTTTATAATTACTGTATAATTACTGTATAATAAAATGGTAATAAATATGAAGTTTATAAGTTTGTATTGGGACGGGAATGGGTGGTACGGGTTGAGTACATGTCTAGTGGATTGTACTCTAATTTGTTCACTCTTTGAGTGCGGTTACTCAATAGTTGGTATTTTATAATTACTGTATAATTACTGTATAATAAAATGGTAATAAATATGAAGTTTATAAGTTTGTATTGGGACGGGAATGGGTGGTACGGGTTGAGTACATGTCTAGTGGATTGTACTCTAATTTGTTCACTCTTTGAGTGCGGTTACTCAATAGTTGGTATTTTATAATTACTGTATAATTACTGTATAATAAAATGGTAATAAATATGAAGTTTATAAGTTTGTATTGGGACGGGAATGGGTGGTACGGGTTGAGTACATGTCTAGTGGATTGTACTCTAATTTGTTCACTCTTTGAGTGCGGTTACTCAATAGTTGGTATTTTATAATTACTGTATAATTACTGTATAATAAAATGGTAATAAATATGAAGTTTATAAGTTTGTATTGGGACGGGAATGGGTGGTACGGGTTGAGTACATGTCTAGTGGATTGTACTCTAATTTGTTCACTCTTTGAGTGCGGTTACTCAATAGTTGGTATTTTATAATTACTGTATAATTACTGTATAATAAAATGGTAATAAATATGAAGTTTATAAGTTTGTATTGGGACGGGAATGGGTGGTACGGGTTGAGTACATGTCTAGTGGATTGTACTCTAATTTGTTCACTCTTTGAGTGCGGTTACTCAATAGTTGGTATTTTATAATTACTGTATAATTACTGTATAATAAAATGGTAATAAATATGAAGTTTATAAGTTTGTATTGGGACGGGAATGGGTGGTACGGGTTGAGTACATGTCTAGTGGATTGTACTCTAATTTGTTCACTCTTTGAGTGCGGTTACTCAATAGTTGGTATTTTATAATTACTGTATAATTACTGTATAATNGCGCTAAAAGTTTTTAAAGAAATTCTAACAAAGTTGACAAAAATCTTGACTCAAGAATCCTGTATTTGAGACAAAATAGGTTATTCAAAGACCACATTTTATACCACTGTTTATTGATTTATATTTGCAGCGGTTTTCAATTAATTTTCATTTTAAAAGTTTATTGATTTGAATTGAGATGTAAACTCGATTACAATCTAATAAAAAATCATATCAAATGGTAATCAATTAAATCTAATGGCACTTTCCTTCATATACTACAACATATCTTAAGGGCTTATAAATTACATAATATCTTGATAATAATCCATGTCTTGCTTCTGAAAAGTATTATTATTTATAAGTGAGTCAATTATCTCATTATAAGTACTACAGTCAGTGTAGTACAGTATACGGTATAACATTCATCATCAATTTTAATTGAATTTAATGAATACAGATATAATGTATATTGTATACAGTATACTGTATAATGTATATAATGTATACTCTATTGATTACATAATTATGAATGGCATCTAAAAATTGCTGAAAACATCAATTCAATGCTTACGTCTAATAAATAGATAGTAATTAAAGGGTTTTCCTAATGTGTTGAATGCGTGAAAACATTTACATCACTAAGAAATGTTTGAATGTTTGACTCGAATTTAAAAAACTTTTTTTCTTATATAACATTTTTGCCTTTAATTAGATTCAAATGCTTTTTTGGTAAATAATTTATTTGCAGTCTTTTGTGCTCAAAAACTGAGGCTCAATGTCCTCATTCACAGCATTTTTATATAAAACATTTTTATGTACTGTTCAACGAGTTTGTGAGAGAAAGAAAGAAAGAAAGAGAGAGAGAGAGAGACAGGGAGAGAGAGAGAGAGAGAGAGAGAGAGAGATTTCATGAATTAACTTGAAACTCAAGTTAAATCACAAATTCCTGAGAAATTCATTACATTTCACAACAATTAGCAAAATACAGTATTAATACCATTTGTTCCTAATTTATCATTGAATGAAAAAATTAAAGTTCAATTTAACATTAAGTCTAAATTTAACATTATGTTTTTAAAAATAAATTTATTTACTAATTAATTCTAATTCTAAATTTTACATATACTGGTATTATTAACTTTAATATTTTAATAAGTTTAATTTTTAAATTAATAATGAAAGCTATAATATTGATATAATATTGAATTATTTATATTTACTAATTAAATTCATTAAAAGTTAACAAATGAATATCACAATATAATATTTTATTCATGAGTTGCATAATGCTTACGGCATTATAATGTGGAGTCAAAACTTTATTCAATTTATAAAAGTTCGAGTGTTCAAGTACTTTATACGAGTTAAAAATTAACATTGGGTTCAAGATTTATTGTAGAAACATTTGAAAGCAATGAGCTTCAAGAAATTTAAAACGATAAAACTTCTTAGGCGTCATCCACAAAATACGTACGCACAATTTTGGTGAAAAATTTACCCCCTCCCCCTACACGCCCATCGTACATAGGAGTTTAACATTAGGGCATACTCTTTGGCATGACCCCCTAGCCGTGCGTACGTACTTTGTGGATCACGCCTTATAACTTATTCGTGCGATTTATAGGACTATACATTATTGGACAATATCACTTTGTGGATATGTGTAGTCCAATTAATATACTATACTGTATTTGACTTTACTATGAAACTTAACTTTTTAATTAGTTTAAAAGTTTTAAACTTCAAAAGCTCTTTACGAATAAAGCAGAGTTCAATAAAACTACAATAAAATCTTGAAACTGAATCAAATTTGCGATCTTAGTTTTATTAGTTTATATATTAGACCTCAAATAACAAGTTTGTATAAAGTATTTAATTGTAATCACTGGTGGTCTTATAGACTTGTTAAGACTGAATTATGTGAAAACCAAAATTCTAGGGGTTGTAAGAGTGGGCTCACTATAAACTAGTCTCAAATGTATTGTAGTATTACTATAAGAACATCTTTATAAATTAATATTTCATTTGTTAAAATAAATTTAATGTTTTATTTTAAAAATGGCAATTTATTTGTATTAATTAAATAATATATTTAATTCATATTCAAAATATAACAATAATTTATAAATACAATAGTTTTATACATTAAAAATCATTTTTAAAATCATGTATGAAATGATCGTTAGGTTCGATGAAAAAATAGTGAATATTTACCTAAAGTTGTATATAAATATTATATTTATAGATTTAAATAATAAAAATAAAGTATTATATTAACAGTAAAATTAAATTAAATTAAAATCTAAACAATTCGTTGATTTAGCGTTCGGTGCGTTCATTCAAATTCATTTCCAATCTTTCCTTAATCTCTGAGCGACAAAACGGACAAATGTCTAACTGTAAGGCACAGTCACTACATATTTTCTGCAAATATCACAAAATCAATCAATCATTACATTCGTTGTTTTACAATTCATTACAACAATAGTTTAACCATGGTATCAATGTAACAAATTCCGTAAAATTGTTAGAAATAAATCATTACTAATGAATTTAAAACAGTATATTATAAAATATTCAATAAAAATATTCTGTAAATGTAATAAATTCTTAGTAACATTGACACGATCAATACTGTTTATACAAAATAATCTTAAAACATTGTAAATCTTATAAATTACTTATTAATTTGTTTAACGTCAATGAAATTACCTGTCATTTACCGGTAATATTTGTATTCAAGACAAATGTTTATACGGTAATTACAATAAACACAGTAAATGGAGTGGTAAGGTATATGGTATTTCATTCACACACATAAATGAACGTTAAAATCATAGAATGTTTGCTTCGAAAATACTGATTTAAATACTAATCAAGTAAATGGTAAATGAATTCTAAACGAAACTATTCACACAACTTGTTGACGAGAATAAGTGTTTGTTTGGTGCGAGAAAGTGGACAAAACATATACAAACCGAATGGAGGCATGGGATGAGTTGAATAGTAGCGGTTCCATCGCAACATAGCGTACAACTATCCTCTCGTGTTGACGACAAATGTAAAAACTTGAGTTTAATGTGTCTGAAAAGGCAAAACTCGATTAAATGCCATAGAATGGTAAGGTATGATATGGTAGGGTATGGTATGGTATGATTGAGATGCAATGACTGCATACTTGGGTAAAATAATTTTCTCGTTGTCTGAGAGATGAGAGTTAGCATTGAATGACTCGAATGCTATATTCGGCGGATATTTGAATGGAGTTCTGCCGAAATTGAAGAGACATTGTTGGTATGACATGAAAGAGGCCGCCGCGAAGAACCCACTCCTGTCATCGCAAACAAATTCACATTCAGTATATCATTGTATGGATAATTGCCATCATTTTATATGATAACATACTTTGCATTCTTGAACACATGTTTATAGGGCTCTAATGGAATGCCATTCAAATAAAATATAATGAGTTCTCGTTTCAGATCTAAAAGACAGCCCAAAACATCTCCTAATTTTAGAAACAATTGAGACAATGATTAATACAAAGAGTTATGGAGAGACAGGTGCGGCGAACCTGGTCTCCAGCACTTGTGTTGATGCGGAAAACTGGAGGCGTTGAACCAAATTAATTGTCTGCACCCGTCGTATGCGATGGAGTACTCGTCGTCACCGATACCATAGCCCTCGTGGTTGAGGAATTTGCTGTCTTTGGTGGCCCAACCGATTTGCATGACTCCCGATGTGATGAGCATCGCCTCGTAATAGAAGACCCCTTCCATTACCTGATAAGTACAGCGAACGCTCTCAAAGGATGAGGCATCACAACGGGCCTACCATTGAGACAACAATCATATCAATACCGTCACCAATGGTCTCACTCAACACAATCATTACCATCAGTCCATTGGCCGATATCTTCAAATACTCGCTCACGTCGTTAGCGTTGAGCAAAGCGTTCAAATCGTTTCGATCGGTCTTCTCGTGAGTGAGTGTTCGGCCGTCTTTGAGGAACAGGTTATCCAAACACCATTGGGCACAGAAGCCCACCTGTTTGCGCACGTAATCCTTATCATCGATCAGCGCTTCCAACGCCACCAATGCGTTCTTATTGGTTTCGTCCAACTTCTTAGCGATCGTCAACTTATTCTCACCTAAAATGTCATCAGAATTTAATTTATAAATGTATTTGTGGTGAGAAAGCAATCAATGAATGACTGACTCGTTTGAGCAAACTTTTCGAGTGCTATTAACGTGAATAAGACGATCGAGAAGTCGTTTTTATGACTTAAATTGTTGATCAAATAGTTGAGGACTTGAGGTGTGAGTAGAGTCATACTGTTAGGTCCGGCCAACTTCTCGGCCAGACATCCGATCACAACACATGCGTTCCTATGCTTTGAGATGTTGTGTCGGGAAAGGTGTTTAGTGTTACATAAGTCCAACATTTGCGACAATTTTGTAATCGATTCCTGTATTCAATGAAAACAACATTATTTGAGACAACAGTCAAACAACAAGGACTGTATGAGTGGTTACTTTGGTTGGAAGGGGACAGTCGTCCAGAAGTAGGAGTATAACGGCTGGACCTAATGGGTCGTCGATGGGGATGACATTGATCATGGAGTTGACGACAGTTAGCCATCCCTTCTCTTTGTCGGCAATCATATGCAACTTAAGCATAGATGACGGCGGGTCTGAATCACTGCAACAGATCAACAGATTATCAATTGATGCCAACATTGGGTCCGTCGATGGACTCACTTATCGACAAGAGTTCTGATGAGAGAGAGCGTCTCGAGGATGAGTTTGTCGACAATGGGAGACATTTTGGCCAAATGTGGTCCACTGTCGTGACCGGACAACACATCCCTCACCACAACCGACGCGTTGATCGTCAGACACTCTTCGGTCATATCATTGTCTCGATTATATCGGTTGTGTCCGACCGCTGATCGACTTCGGGAACCGTTATTTCTGGTGTCACTGTTATTATGGCGACTATTGGCGGAACTGTTGTCACGTTTAGTCCGCTCTTTGCAGACGCAAAGACCCATTGATTTGCGGTTCAATTCAAATGAGACATCAATTCATGGATTCAATGGTTGGATGCAAACATCAAAGACACATATTTTTGTCACCAAATATTATCAATTCATTTGTGAAATGCTTTTCAAATGTGGAGAAAGTGTTGTGAATTGACTTAAAAGCCAAACAAATATACAATTAATGAGTAATTAATGAGAAGTAATAGTAAATGAGTTGTTGTGTGAAAACAAACACAACATTCATATTAAGTGTTCATTGAATTGAATGCCAAACAAGTGATGAATGAATGCGAGCTCTCATTGAAATGCAATGCAATCACAGTTGTTGTCAATAATGTTGAGTAAAACACAGCAAACCATTGAAACCCAAAGTAAATCTGGAATAAAGTGTGCGCACAGTGTCTGTCCATTCATGCCATACAGCCATACACTCCTCCAAACTTTCTTTCTTTTCTTTCACTTCAATGTATGCCCTTTAAGACAGTTATTGTGCCACTATTTCGGCATATTTTCACAAATAATTTGCTCCAAACTTATTGAGACATGACTTGTCTGTCTGTGATTGACAGTTGTGTCTATCGTTTTTACTTTTATACACAGAATCGCACACTTATTTCATAACTATTTTTCAATATGTAAATTTGATAACAAATATTCATTCACTTCAAATCATATCATTTCTTATTAAGTAGGTAAAGACCTATGAAATACTTAAATCATTACAATATCTTATCATAAGTTATTGGAAAATCAAAACATTGTTTTAGTCATTCAATAAATATTTGTTATAAGTATGAACTCATTTTTATTTAAATATTTGTTAAAATAGTACAGATTAAGGAACTCTTAAGAATAAAGCGATTTATTGAGATAATCTGAAGTACCCTTCTTAATATTACTGTAAAAGTTGCACAAAACAATAATTGTGAATAAAATGTAAAAGATTAATTTACTAGATTATGTTATTTATAAAAGAATATAATTTAATTTATAAGATAGATTAATAAAATTTCATAATTAAAATGAAGATTCTTTCTTATATATAAACAATTGATATTATTTTGTTGATAAATTGTTGGGTGGTTTCAAATATTGTTATTGAACAAATGAACACAGTATGTTTTATTAAAATAACTAAACCTCAACTACAGTAATAGTAATTTCACAATAGATCAAGTTTAATTGATGTCTTTTGAAATGAACAAAAGTTATTTTGTTTGTAAATTGATATTATTTGTTCCTGATCAGTAATTGAGTAAAGATTCTACAATAGTATAATTATTATAGAATATTATACTATAATATTTGTACCATTATTTTCTTTCATTAGCTAATTACTCATGTGATAATCAACTATCGTTTTATTAACACATTTTGGTTTTTTTCATTAAATATATAGTAACCTATTTTTCTGTAATTAGAAATATTGAGCTAGTTCATTTGTAACAATAATGAAGTTTTCAATATAAATGGATTACTTCAAGACCCTAATATGTCTATACTTTTATAATAAACAACGAACTTAATGTACAACGAAATGTATTAATCAATAGGTTTTAACTAATTTATAAGTTTTGTTTAAAGGTATGAGTATTTTATAATCACAGTTTTTATATTAGCAGACATATCATACTCTAGAGTCTAAAGTGAATTTGGTATTGTCTTAATGTAACCATTGTTTACTATTCATATAATAAAATCTGAATTTTAAAGTCAAATAAGTGAATTATAATATAATTATATTATGATTTTATTTAGTGAATTCTATGATCTGCGATTTTGAACTAGATATTTTATAATATTGTAATATTGAGACAAGTTATAAGAAATATTAAATTTTTGTGATAAAGCAATTTATTATCATACATTTAACCAGCTACATAATTTGTAAAATACAATTAAATGTAAGTTATAACTAAATTTATTAAATATTAATTTCCCTGGCATTTTTAACTTAAACTCCAAATTAAATGAATATTCTGTAAAGTTATCATAATATTATATTCCATGTATTTCTACGAAATAATTACAACTTCTTTCCTGAAATTGAGTGTCGGAAGTATTAAATCTAATCGCAATATATACTAAATAAATAGTTTTTTGTTAAATATTTTTCTCATTTCACTCTTCAGTGTTAATCACTTAAGTTATACCAATATTGTAAATAAGATATACAGTACACACATACTGTAGTGTACAGTATAAGCTTACATTTAATTAAATTAAGTACTTTTATTATACAGGTTTTGATTTACTGTTTACTAACAGATATATTTTATGTAATATTAAATTAAGTGCTAAATAAATAAAATTCACTTTTTAAAGAGATTCACAAATGTTTGAAAATTCCTAGTTAGAGGCATAAGCGTAACCCATACCACACCCTAATCTATTCAAATGTATGATTCTAATGGGAAAGCCTACGCCAAACAGTTGTTGCAGTGGTGGTAAATGGGCAAACTCCGAGTTAGACAGTAGTGATCGTCAAAAAAGTCGTATTAATTTTTTCAAAACAATTACTAAAATAGAAGTTTATGTGTCTCTCACTCACTCATTAACCAACAAAACCCCAAATTGTTTGACACTATTGTCAATCACTAATTCTCTTTGTTTCCATAATTGCTATAATATTTGGAGCATATCTTATCAAGGCAACAAACAAAGTTATCGCCTGTTCTTACTATACATTTATTTGGTTTCTAATTAAATCACTTGATTTGTGAGGGAATTGTTATAATGCCGGCCACAGCAACAGTTCAGGTCAGCCGGACAGTCACAACCACCAGATCCTCCGTATTGGTCATCAATACTGGATATTTGCGCTCAAAATTAGGAGCACTTAAACTACTCCTTTTGGTAAGTGATTCCTCATTCATACTGTATATAGACTTCATGAATGACACTATTTTTAGCACTTCTACCAATTCAAGCGAAAAATACTTTGTTTTAAACATTAAATAATTTGTTTATAGTACGATATTACAGTGTTTAATTTAAGAATTTTAAGAATTTAGTCAAATAAAATGCATTTTGGTATTGTCACCATTTATTAACTCAATATTATAAACGACCCAATTCTTGGTGCTTTTAGTCTTGCCAATAATTATTGTACTTCTCATGTAAACATATAAATTATATATTCCTAACAATTTTAATGATTTTGGAAAGTATTTCAGAAAATAAGTAGCTCATTTATTATTCAGACAAATGATATTCTTATATATTTTCACAAATAATAAAATAATTCCAAAGATTTTAAAATTATATAATACAAGTTATATTCTAAGTTACTAGTTATATAAAACATAAAATAC